AATGCACACCAATACCCATACGCGCAAAGAGCACAAACACACACACAATATTACAAAAAATGTACAAAGACACGATCACACATGTAGAAACACTCACAGGGCTAAGCTCAGGCTACTGTGGGGGTCACAGATGGCGGATTGTGATCGGCCTGCGAGTACCCAAAGGTATATTAGTAGGTTATCTGGGAATAACAAATAAGCAGTCCCCGACCAAGACCGGCAGAGGAAGAGGGGCGGCTGAAAAGGCCGCATAACCCTGCGAATCTTCGGTGACAAGGCGAGTAAGCGCCGTCCTTGAAATAGGTGCTCCCCACTCTTGTATGGGGTGGCACCGAGGGAGAGAATTCTTTTATTCCACGAAGCCTAGGGATAGGCATCAAGACCGAGCCCGGTAAGGTCTTGATTATGGCACACCGGAACACGTACCTGAATTGATGACTTTGAGCTGGTGGTGGCAGTATTCCGTTACCTGAGTAGGTTGGGGTGACACCCAGCCGAAATGGCTTTCGGGCTAATGCTGATACCGCGCCCGCCCCGTTAAAATTATGGCAAGTCTGGGAAGTAAGTTCTAGGCCGCACCGTTAAGTTGATAGGTGTAGGCCCAGTTGAACTCCCAGATGAACTCCTGGCTAATGCTGGACCTGGCACTGAACGCTAGTCTCAGAAGGGCCAGCGTCAACCCACTGCATGGCCTCACTGCTTGCAAAGATAACCATGGGGTCCTAACAGCAACTACACCAGCGGAGCCGGATGGCGGCTTCACAATTGGGGTCCATATAAAATAAAATCATGAATAACACGAATAAACCCAAAACAGCAACGCCGATGTCTGCAGGTACGACAAAAAAAGCAGACAGTGGAGTTCACGCCAGTGATCTGAGCGATGAGAATCCGTTTAGGTCGAGGAGCAGAATGCTACGATCGCCGGTTGGCGGCCGAGCGCAGCCACAGTCGTCTACCAATTTAAAGAGAGTGCCTAGGACAGATGCGGGGGACACGGCGCCCTTTGTAAGGCTGGGCCACCACATAGAGGCACTGGTGGAAATGTTGGAGGACGGCAAAAGGCGGTCCATTCACCAAGCCAAGAGGGATGCCATTGAGGGCATCAGAATGACCTATGAGCAGAGCGCGCTGCTAAGGGACCAGACGAGGGCCGATCCGAGTGGCAAGGCCGACAAGGTCGATCAAGCCGCTCAAACGACCCCTCCTCGTAATTTAGGAGGGGTGAGCAAAAAAGACGCTCCGGAGTCCGACCCGAAGATAAGCGCTTCAAAGAGAAGACCGCCTGGCGACATAGACGCACCAACTACCAAGCGTCGTAACGTGGCCAGTGGGCCCAATAGGATCGCGCAGAAGCCCACCGACCAGAGTACGCGGGCTATGGCGAGGGCTGGCAACAAGTGACGGCCAGGAAAAAAAAGGACCGCACACCGCAAATGCGTAGAAGGAAACCGGACGCCATCGTTATAGCTGTGACCGGCAAGCTCTCCTACGCTGAAATGCTGCGTAAGGTCAAAGGCGAGCCCAAACTGAAGAGTGATGTAGTCCACAAAATCAAGAGGACACAGAAAGGCGACCTACTGCTGCAACTGGACAAAAACGGAGAGAAAACGGAAGAGCTGAAGAATGCAGTGAGCTCCCTGCTAGGGGACCAGGCGGCAGTAAGAAGCCTGAAGCAACGCGGTACAGTCGAATGCAGGGATGTCGTCGAAATCACCTCAAAGAGGGACATTTGCGAGGCCATAAAGAGCCAATATGGGCTGGCAAACGCAGAGGTAGTTGGCCTGAGAAAGGCCTATGGCGGTACGCAAACGGCAATAATCAGCCTGTCGCAAGAGGAAGCCAACAAGCTGCTAGCTGGTGGCAAATTAAGAGTAGGCTGGGTGGTGTGCCGACTAAGGGACCACAGAGCACTGGTGAAGTGCTACCGCTGCTTGGAATTCGGACACATTGCCAAGCAATGTAAAGCAATATGCGACCGTTCAAAGGTCTGCCGACGATGCGTAGAGGATTGGCACATCGCAAAAGTGTGCTCCAAAGATCCCCTGTGCTTTTCTTGTAAAGGCGTACCAAATGCTGACGCTAAACACGTAGCGGGGAGCAGTAAGTGCCCGTTATTCAAACGAGCTTTAGCTGCTAGAGGACGCAAATGAGAATCATGCAAATTAACCTCAATCACGGCGAGGCAGCTCATGACCTTCTTCGGCAAACGGTCGGTGAGAAAGAGATGGACCTAGTACTACTGAGTGAACTATATCGCAAGGCAAGTCAGGGCACCTGGGTAACCGATGCGTCCAAAAAAGCAGCAATTTGGGCGCCTGGTCCTATAGCACTCTTGGATGGGGACTGCCAGCACAGCGGATTCGTCAGGGCGACAGCTAAATATATATGCTGCTATAGTTGCTACGCTCCTCCAAGCTGGACACAAAGCGAATTTCAAAACATGCTAGATGAACTTGTCGCAGATGCCCGGGAGAACCCTTCCGTATTAATTGCGGGGGATTTCAATGCTTGGGCCTTCGAGTGTGGCAGTAAGGCCTGCAATGCGAGAGGACGCAGCTTGCTGGAGGCTTTCGCCATGCTGAAAGTATCTCTTCTGAACGATGGGCAGCGAGATACGTTTCGTAAGGCAGGAAGGGGCTCGAAAGTAGACCTCACCTTTGTTAGCGACGGTCTAGTGACCAGATGCAAGTGGTCAATGAGCGAGGAGTACACAAATATCGATCACCAGGCCATCTTCCTCGACATAGCATCTAGAGAGGACAGAGGTAATAGGTGGAACAAAACTACCGGGCCGAGTTGGAGAAATGCAATTTTTGATGAGGATGTCTTTAACACCATTATGGACTCCTATGTGGTTGGAAACGGTACAGCTGGTGAACTCCGGCAAAACATAGCAAAGTTGCTGGTACAAGCATGCGACGCCGCAATGCCCCGAAGACGAAATACACGGAGAAGGGGGTCTCCGTGCCATTGGTGGACCGAAGAGATAGCGTCCCTAAGAGCAAACTGCTTGAAAGCCAGAAGAAAAGTGCAACGCTCGAGAGGTAGGGAAAACTTCAATGAATTGCTCCTACCCTACAGACACCTGCGCAGTGACTTAAAGAAAGCCATAAAGGCCAGCAAAAGGAGAAGTTTTGAGGAAATATGCCAGGATGCCGATGTTAACTTGTGGGGAACGGCATATAAAGTGGCCTTGAAGAAGATCAAAGGACAGTAGATACCGGAAATCACGTGTCCGCTCGCGCTCCGAGGAATAGTAGTGACACTTTTCCCGCAGAGGCCGCCGTATGTGTTAGTAAACCTCCTCGGCAGGGAAGAGGAAGCCATACCAGCAATTTCTACCGACGAGCTTTTAAGCGCCTGCAAGCGGATTGAGGACAAAAAACCCCTGGCCCAGATGGAGTCCCTATCAAGGCCTTAAAGGCAGCGATACGTAGGAGGCCAGACGTCTTCATGATGTTGCTGCAAAGGTGCCTGGAAGAAAGGACGTTCCCGGACGTATGGAAGATCCAAAGGCTGCTCCATATTTCGAAGGCCAATAAGCCACTGAACGAGCCATCGTCATATTGACCCATCTGCCTGTTGGACACAATGGGCAAAGTATTGGAAAGGGTCGTATATGAACGCCTGCTAGCTGTGGTTGAAGAAAGACGTGCTCTCTGGGATAACCAGTATGATTCCGTAGAGCGCGGTCTACAATAGATGCCATAAGCCATGTCGTGGCGCTTAACTCAGACGCCATAGCCGGTGACCGATGGAGGGGCGGTGATAAAAAGTACTGCGCCGTCGTTACGCTAGACGTTAAAACCGCTTTCAACTCGGCGGACTGGGGGCTTATCCGCAAAACCCTCATAAGGATACGGGTTCCAAAGTATATACTTGAGATAGTGACAAGTTACCTTTCGAACCGCACGTTAATGTACGACAGCGACGATGGAAAGCAATCGCATAAAATATCGGCGGGTGTTCCACAGGGGTC